ATTGGCTGATTTGGAAAGAATTTATTTACAAATTATGGTGGAAACTAAGTATTTGGTCACCTACAAACAAGCAAGATTTTTGGCTCTCACAGACCTGTACCTTCTTCTTTAAGAGGCTCCTCTGTCCTGCACTCATTACCTGTATCAATGGCACCTGTTTAAACTTGTTATCAGTATAAAAGACACCTGTCCACAACCTCAAAACAGTTACACTCCAAACTCCATTATGGTGAAGACCAAAGAGCTGTCGAAGGACACCAGAAACCAAATTGTAGACCTGCACCAGGCTGGGAAGACTGAATCTGCAATAGGCAAGCAGCTTGGTGTGAACAAATCAACTGTGGGAGCAATAATTAGAAAATGGAAGACATACAAGACCACTGATAATCTCCCCCGATCTGGGGCTCCAAGCAAGATCTCACCCCGTGGGGTCAAAATGATCACAAGAACGGTAAGCAAAAATCCCAGGAATACACGGGGGGACCTAGTAAATGACCTGCAGAGAGCTGGGACCAACATAACAAAGGCTACCATCAGTAACACACTACGCTGCCAGGGACTCAGATCCTACAGTGCCAGATGTGCCCCCCTGCTTAAGCCAGTACATGTCCGGGGCCGTCTGAAGTTTGCTAGAGAGCATTTGGATGATCCAAAAGAGGATTGGGAGAATGTCATATGGTCAGATGAAACCAAAATAGAACTGTTTGGTAGAAACACAACTCGCCGTGTTTGGAGGAGAGAGAATGCTGAGTTGAAGCCAAAGAACACACATACCTACTGTGAATCATGGGGGTGGCTACATCATGCTTTGGGGCCGTTTCTTCACAAAGGGACCAGGACGACTGATCCATGTACAGGACAGAATGAATGGGGCCATGTATTGTGAGATTTTGAGTGCAAACCTCCTTCCATCAGCAAGGGCATTGAAGATGAAACGTTGCTGGGTCTTCCAACATGACAATGATAACCAACATACCGCCCGAGCAACGAAGGGAGTGGCTTCGTAAGAAGCATTTCAAGGTCCTTGAGTGGCCTAGCCAGTCTCCAGATCTCAACCCCATAGAAAACCTTTGGAGGGAGTTGAAAGTCCGTGTTGCCCAGCAACAGCCCCAAAACATCACTGCTCTAGAGGAGATCTGCATGGAGGAATGGGCCAACATACCAGCAACAGTGTGTGCCAACCTTGTGAAGACTTACAGGAAACGTTTGACCTCTGTCATTGCCAACAAAGGATATATAACAAAGTATTGAGATGAACTTTTGATATTGACCAAATATTTATTTTTCACCATAATTTGCAAATAAATTCTTTTTAAATCAGCGAATGTGATTGTCTGGATTTTTTTTCTCATTTTGTCTCTCATAGTTGAGGTCTACCTATGATGCCAATTACAGGCCTCTCTCATCTTTTTAAGTGGGAGAACTTGCACAATTGGTGGCTGACTAAATACTTTTTTTGCCCCACTGTATTGTACATATGTACATGTTACCTTTATGTGCCAACAAAGCTCTTTTGGTACTTGTTTTTATACGGTTTACATATCCGAAGATCAGCAAATCAACTAGATTCACAAAACTGACATAATACAAGATCAATGTAAATCAGTGGATGCATTTCGGGTGCGCGCCCGCTTCCTTTGGAATAAATAACAATGTAATCTATCTATAATGTATGTTTCTATGTACTTATGGAAACATTCAAGGTCAGCTGGCCCTGAGGAAGCAAGTATCACCGCGAAACACGCTAACTGTCATATATCGCCCTTGTATTATGTCAATTTTATTAATCTAGTTGATGTGCAGACCTTCGGATATGTGAACCATGTAAAAACAAGGGTTTTTGTTAACTACTTGTGTTGGGGGTAACATTTTAGCTTCTGTTCAAATAATAACATATAACAAATGCATAGTCGCTACATACACTGCACACATATAACAGTCCTTGTATCCACATAATATTCCTAATTACTGTACCACAATTGATAACATCACAGACACAAATAAATCTCAGGACAAAGCTAATTTTTAAAAAATTAAATGTTTTCAATACATAAGCTTTCATGCACACAAAAAGGATTGAGAGACTGAGCCTACCTCAAAGAACAGCACAGCCATGCAAAGCAGTGTGCATACAGTGAAGCACACGGACACAGCACATAAGAAAACAGCACACAGTTAACCCTTTGATTGCCCCACATTTTACCCCTTTCTGCCCAGTGCCATTAATACAGTGTCAGTGCTTTATATTAGCACTGATCACTGTATTGGTGTCAATGGGGATGTCAGTCACACCAAGTCAGTTACGCCCAGTGTCAAAATTCCCTCTATAGGTCGCTGATCGCCGCCATTATAGTAAAAATAAAAAAATCCTAGTATATTTACCGACATTTGTAAACTCTATAAATTTCACGTAAACCAATTAATTTACACGTATTGGGATTTTTTTTTAGCAAAGACATGTAGCAGAATAGATTTTGGCCTAAATACAGTACATACCGAAATTTGATGTTTTAAATTTTTTTACTGGACATGTTTAAGATAAATATGGTTTATGCTGACACTCTGTAAATAAAATATACTGTATATAGTTACTAAAAAGGGGGACAGATTGTAATGGATGCATTTTACTGTAAACAAGAACATACTTTATGACCCATCAACCCTGCAGCTCTGTGAATTTCATCTTATTACATCTCAGAGCAGCAAAGAAAGTCAATGCTACACGACGTCACAAAGAGAAAGATAGATATATAACACCTAGGATTTGTTACTGACTGTAGTTCCCATTGAGACCTAGGTCTGAATGTGGACTTTTTTTTTTAATTAAGGTATTTATTTTGCTCCGTTTGCATATACGCTGCATGTTGCATTTTGTACATTTAAATTACTGGTAGTGCCTGCTCTCAAACAGCTTACAATTTAAGGTGCCTATCTCACACGCATACATACACATACTAGAGCCAAGAGACCTACCAGCATGTTTTTGGAGTGTGGGAGGCTGTCATTAGTTTTATATTATTGGTACTGACTATGGGGGGGGGGGGGCATATTCTATAATCTGGATTCTGGTAGCTATATGGATTGGTTAATATAAATGTGAAAAGTTCTGACCCAAAGATATAATAAACATTTATCCAACTGCAGTCACTCACTGTGGAGTGTGCAAAGAAACAAGTATGTGTATGACTGTGCTCAAAATATCAGGTGTTAGCCCTGGTTTACACTGATGCGACTTCAGGTGCAACATGCGATTTACAAATCACACCTGAAGTCGCATATAATGTATTTCTATGGCACTGTCTTAATCAATGCAATCTGAACTAGTGCGATTTCAAAAATAGCTCCTGCACTACTTTTTTCCAATTTCATTATGACTTGCATTGACTTCTGTCAAATGATGTTGCAAACTGCAGCAAAATCAGACTCGCATTGATCTGCAGCTATGAAATTGTGCTACTTCAAGTAGCTTCATTTCAAGTTGCATTCACTGTGAACCAGGGCTTAAACTACCTAAAACAAGAAAAAGTGTTAAAATATTCAACAAAATATCAACAAAATAATAAACAAAATATTCACTTTCAAAATATTGTGCAACTCAGTTCACAATGTGTTCATAATACACTATATTGCCAAAAGTATTGAGACATCCCTTCAAATCATTGAATTCAGATGTTCCAATCACCTACATGGCCACAGGTATATAAAATCAAACACCTAGGCATGCAGACTGCTTCTACAAACATTTGTGAAAGAATGGGTATCTCTCAGGAGCTCAGTGAATTCAAGCGTGGTTCCATGATAGGTTGCCACCTGTGTAATAAGTCAATTCATGAAATTTCCTTGCTACTAAATATTCCACAGTCAACTGTTAGTGGTATTATAACAAAGTGGAAGCAACTGGGAACAACAGCAACTCAGCCACGAAGTGGTAGGCCATGTAAAATGACAGAGCGGAGTCAGAGCATGCTGAAGCACCCAGTGTGCGGAAGTTGCCAACTGTCTGCAGAGTCAATATCTAAAGACCTCCAAACTTCATGTGGCCTTCAGATTAGCACAACAATAGTGCATAGACAGCTTCATGGAATACATTTTCATGGCCGAGCAGCTGCATCCAAGCCTTACATCACCAAGTGCAATGCAAAGTGTCAAATGCAGTGATGTAAAGCACGCCGCCATTGGACTCTAGAGCAGTGGAGACATGTTCTTTGGAGTGATGAATCACTCTTCTCTGGAAATCTGATGAAACGTGTCTGGGTTTGGCAGTTGCCAGGAGAATGGTATTTGCCTGACTGCATTGTGCCAAGGGTAAAGTTTGGTTCCATTCTAATTCATCCCAAAGGTGTTCTATATGGTTGAGATCAGGACTCTGTGCAGGCCAGTCAAGTTCCTCCACCCCAAACTCGCTCATCCATGTCTTTATGGAGCTTGCTTTGTGCACTGGTGTGCAGTGATGTTGGAACAGGAAGGAGCCATCCCCAAACTGTTCCCACAAAGTTGGGAGCATGAAATTGTCCAAAATATCTTGGTATGCTGACGCTTTAGGAATTCCCTTCGCTGGAACTAAGTGGACAAGCCCAACCCCTGAAAAACAACCCCACACCATAATCCCCCCTCCACCAAACTATACACTTAGCACAATGCAGTCAGGCAAATACCATTCTCCTGGCAACTGCCAAACCCAGACACGTCCATAAGATTGCCAGACAGAGACTCATGCTTCGTTACTCCAGAGAACACATCTCCACTACTCTATAGAGTCCAGTAGCGGTGTGCTTTACGTCACTGCATCCGACATTTTGCATTGCACTTGGTGGTGTAAGGCTTGGATACAGCTGCTCGGCCATGGAAACCTATTCGATGAAGTTCTCTTTGCACTGTTGTTATGCTAATCTGAAGGCCACATGAAGTTTGGAGGTCTTTAGCTATTGATTCTGCAGACAGTTGGCGACTTCTGCGCACTGTGCGCTTCAGCATGCGCTGACCCCGCTCTGTCATTTTACGTGGCCTAGCACTTTGTGGCTAAGTTGCTGTTGCCAGTTGCTTCCACTTTGTTATAATACCACTAACAGTTGATTGTGGAATATTTAGTAGCATGGAAATTTCACGGATGGACTTATTACACAGGTGGCAACCTATGAGCTTTAACAAATGTTTGTAGAAGCAGCCTGCATGCCTAGGTGCTTGATTTTATACACCTGTGGCCATGGAGGTAATTGGAACACCTGAGTCCAATGATTTGGAGGGCTGGCCCAATACGTTTGGCAATATAGTGTGTGTATGTGTGTGTGTGTGTATATATATATATATATATATATATGTATATATATATGTATGTATATTTATTTTGCAACTTGATACACACAAATGTATTGCTAATTTATTTCCCATCATCTTAGTTTTTTCTATGAGGCTCATTCCCTTTCTCCTTTTAATTGTTTTTCTTTATATTTATGATATCCTTTATAATGGATCTTGTCAAATATGGCAGAAGTTCTTTTTAAGGGGATCTATGGAGCACAAAGATATGAGCACTTGTAAAGGGGTGCCTATAGTGACAATCTCCAATAGTCTCATGTAGCCTTTCCCCAATCTATGATCATCTCCTGAAGCAAGTCTATAGTCTCTGACCATATCCTGCTGTATGCCTGCAGTCTCTGACTTTCTGTAGAGTTAATAACATTCACTTTGTGTGTTTTGTGTAGCCTATTGTTGATGTCAGGGGCTGTACTTAAGGAGCCTCTGATTTTTTGTAATACTCCTGGAAGTGTAGGCTTCTGATAAGACTTAGGGGAATGAGACTTCTTCATTACAGCAGCATTTGGTGCCGCTGGCAGCAGGAGAGGTAAGTATTTACTATCTTTACAGGACATATTATTACAGGTACTTTCATTTTACTAATACAGCTGCTTTACATAGTAATGGATAAGATCCATATGTTATTCAGAGAAGAACTATTTTCAGCAGCGATTTGGAAAGGAAAACACAGGTGTCTCTCTTATGACAGTCAAGACAATCGATATCTACTTAAAATTTAGGTTTCAGATTTGTTATACCATTTCTTTTTCCTAAAACATTGGAGTTTGGAATCACCTCTTTTGACCTTTGCTGTCTATGACTATGATAGATGCAGCGAACTTAGAAAAACGAGTGCAAAGTTATAGCTGGAAGATAGTTATTTGCATATGTTGTCCTATGCTAATTTATATGTACTGGCAAAGGGAAAATCTGGACTGCATACAGATTTAAATTATCTATAAATAAATGATGAGATATAAGAAACAGCTTGAAAATTAAATGGAATTTCTTAAAATATTTCAAAATGTAGCCAGTTAACTATTTATGTGAATGCAGGTGATTGGATATATATATAATATACTTTAGATATATAATTTCTTTTTAGAATGTATAAGTTGTATAACTACTGTTAGCCGACATGCATTGTCTGGTCCTGCAGCTGACTTCTTTCTGACTTGCATTTGACCTGCTCCAAGCAGATTTTGCAATTCCTTTAAATATGTATGGGAATGCAAACAAAAGCACTTTAACAAACCCTTTAAATCGGCACTCCTGCACTGCAAAGGTTAAATGATCAATTAGGCCTGGGAACTGCAAAAATTTATTCTACTTACCCAATCTCCCAGGATAATCAGGTGAAAATACAACAAAAGAAGCTTTAAAAAAATAAAAAGATTGCGCCACCACACCAAGGACTAGCAAGCTGCAATATATTACACATTAATGTGAAGTTATTCATTCTCAAAGATCTTCAAAGATCACAACAAAGACTCTAGAGTTGGGTTTCAGTCACTTTCTAGGGGCTCATTGACACTTGGGGTTCGGGGTTCAGGAAAATTAGGTATAGAACCATGTTTTTTTATTGCCCCCACACCTTTCACCTTAAATTGTTACTAAACCCAGGAGCCTGAATTCACTATATCTGGTCTCCCACGGTACACAGAACATGGAAATGCATTTATTTTAGTAAATTTAAACGGCTCAGTACCTTTTCTCACCAGCAGTCAGAGCAGTCTTGTGACTTCTATCAGTGCCCAGCAGAGCACTGGTTAAAGCTTGTAGGAGGTGTTTCCTCTAGGAGGATGTAAAACCCCTTCCTCTGTCTGGGCAGAGCTGATTTGCCCTGTGCTGATCACATTCATTCTCCCAAGAACAAAATAAAAAAAACCCCTCTTTAGCAATACACACCAAACTGAACATGTGTAGTGTCTCCACACGATATGTTTTTATCAGGAGATAAGAAGGAGACACACACTGGAAGAAGAGGAGGATCAGAGGAGACAGGATCAAACATCCTTTTTAGACAATGTAGATGATTAATCCCTTAGGTTCCACAGTGAGTATAACAAGCACGCTTTTCTGAATATACAGACTGATTTTACTGTTGTGGGTTTAGTAACACTTTAAGTTGCAAAGGCAGCTGGATGAGGATGTACACTATTTATACCCCTGTTGCAATTAGCAGCAATGCACATGGTTAAAACAACTTTTTACCTCTTTTCTGCTTCTAAAACATCTCTGAAAAGAGATCCACCAGGGATCGCTTTTGAGAGGTGTGTCAAGGTTTGCCTCAAGTGTAAACTTAGCCTAACAACTGAGACACCTTCTGGTTGTCTACATTAGAAGGCTGGTGGGCTGCCAAGACCTTCTCTCAGGAAAACATGATTCATATGTTGTAAACTTTGAAAATTAAATTTTTCACAATGCTTGTAGATACAGAGGTGAATGGGGCTTGTTTAGGACTCTTTCATACATGCGTTCGAGTCAAATCCACACATTTTAGCAGATGGATCTTAACTGAAGTTCCATGTTAGTTTCTGGACAGGTGGAAGTAAACAGAAGCGTGTCTGTTTGCATCCAATTACCTTCAACTTCATCAAGGTCAAAAAAAGACAGAAAAGGTTTGCATCCTTTTCTCAGACCTAAATGTTATAGTTCAGAGTAAAAGGATATAAATGGACCCATGTCCATTTACTACAGTCAGCCCATAGTTCTAATGGGTCCATTAAGCACGAGCAAGAAAAAACTGAATGGCACGAATGTCCCAAAAGTGACATCTGCACTGTTTGGCTCCGATTTAGCTGGGGATCTGTTCACACGTCTCCTAAAGATCAGAACAAATGCTACCTGTGTGAAAAGATCCTAAAGTGTTTTTATTGCATGTTACCAGGAAATTGCAGGGTGTAATATTCTACAGAAAATACTACAGGGGACACAGACAATTTAAATCCCATATAGCCACTGCAAGCCTCATAGAAAACCTAGTGTTTAATCCCCCATGATTTATGGACAGGGAGTCTCCATCTCCAGTAAGTCCCCTGAGTAACAAAATGATGCCTGCACACACTCCAATCCTCGGAAATGTCCTTTATTAAAGCGGTATTAAAAACCTAAACCCAAAAATGTAACATATTGCAACTTACCAATCATTCGTTTTCTTTTTTTAGGCCTTATCCCTCTGTTTTTATGTGATAATCTGGATAAAAGCACAGCTCCTGTAATAAAGTGCCTCCATTCTGGATGAAGAAGCACAAAGGCACCGTTTGGACAGCTGCAATGGCAGTTTCGGGGGAGGGGAGCGTTAGACGGACTAACAGATTTAGTCACACTTGTAGGTAGGTGCAGTCTATTTTTTCCACCTTGGATGGCGTTAAAACTGAGTGGTGCCACAGCCTGGAAAGGAAGTCAAAGGAAACACGGTTTCTCTATGGTTTGTTGGATCAATGGAGCAGCTCTCCAGTTGGCTATGCTGCAGCCATGTAGCACTTGGGCGCCATCTTTTGTTAGCAGGGTATGTCTACATCCCTGCCCCCTGGGCTTTGCCGCATTTTTGGAGCAAGTGACTAGGATTGGGAGAGTTACTCTGCTTGCTAGTGAGAGTACTTAGTGGTTAAGAAAGGTTCCAGACGAGAAGAGACAGATTAGGGACTTGCTATCCTGTAAGGAAACCTCCCTGCTTGAGACTGGACTGGCCAGGCTGTGCTCCTACCTCTGAGACAGACACTGTCGGCATACCTTCTCAGCCACTTCTTGAACTGGGCTGAAATCTGAGTAATTCCCTGTGCAGGTCTCTCCCACTGGGGTGTTTGTATCTTGGCATTCTGCTCAAAACAAGTTTCAAGTTTCACCACGCTGCACCTCTCCACTCACTAAAGCAGGGTATACACATAGAAGTTTTTTTTGTTCAACCAGGGATCTCCGCTGCCGTGCTATTGTTTTCTGACAGCGAGGACTCTCCTTCCTGTCAGAATACGCAAATTCTGAATGGAACTGAGGATTGTGGGAGAGATAGTAGTTCCATACAGACTAATCCTGCTTTATTAACTGAGCAAGAGGAATTACAGATACTGTACCAGAGTCATTGGAGCTCTGGGGAGAGGAAAATGAGGAGGTTTGTTCCCAGGCTCAGGGAGATGCAAGGAGAACATTAAGGGAGAGTGAGCATATGTCTGGGTGTTAGCAAAATGCTTGCCACCACACCTGAGATAGAGAAAGTCATCAAAGAGAAGACACTCCTTGGTACCTGAGATTCTCACTGTCGCTGATTGAGCCTGCTGCCAAGAAAGAATGCAGGAGACATTGACCGTATTGAACCCCCGACAGGGAACAGATAGAAGTCATCTGTTGCCACAGTAGTAAGTGAGAGGCCACTTACCAGCTTCACTAAACCCTCTTAAAAGAAACAGCATTGCCTGTGTGGGTCACAGTGCAAGTACCTTTATCTGTTTTTGGAGGAACATTCTGAGCACTTTTAACATCAGGTTTGGACCCCAATGTGGTAGCCAAAACTATTATAGTGGCCAGAAAAGAATGTACAAATATGGAAGGAGCACCAGACCAAAAGACAAAATAGTCCAAATTAATTTATTGATATTGTGTTAAAAGACAGCCAACGCGTTTCGGGGGTCAAAAGAACTCCCCTTTCATCAGGGCTTCAGCTAAAAATGAGAACCTTGAGTAGACTCAAAGTAAAGGCTTTCCTGTTTGAATCTGCACAGGAAAGCCGATTGCTGAATTAGGATTCCTGGCCAGTAGTATCTTCATCAGCAGTAAAAGTCCCAGAACCTCTTGGATGCCCTTTTTTCAATGAACTATTCTAGTAGTACTACTCCCCTTAGGCAGGATTACCCCTAGTACAGAGCTAAGGGACTACTCTCTGTTGCACTTGCTTGTCACCAACCATATATCTTAATTGTCATGGTTTTACCTATTTGCTGAGCAATTACTACGGTTTATGTTCCTTTAAGCTATGGGGGTACTTTTTAAGTGTGC